GTGTGTAAGTTTAGGAGAATGGTAAAATCCAGTCTGTTGAAGAAATATGAAATGACATAATATGTATCCTTTAAAATTGAGAAAGATTTTATTATTTTTTTCTGTTTTTTTATTATTGTTTGAATTTCTTTTGATGGAAAAAGGTGCAGATATTACAAGATTTTTTCTTCCTTCTGCTGCCTTTCATTTTATTTTTCATTTGTATTTTTTTGTATATAGAATTGGTTTTGTTTTTAAATGAAATGAATGAACAAACTAAACTAAAGTTAAAGTCCATAAGTTTGAACAGTTTTATTACAAAACGTTTCTAATGTGAATGTTTTCTAAAGAAACTCATGAAATTTTTAGCCAAGTATAATTGTTCTATATCAGTAGAGAAAAACAGATTCTGATGTAAGTTTTTCCAGAGTTGTGCAAATGCTGAATTTAGTCTAGACAAGAAAAACTGAATGAACACATTCAGACTTTTGTCCCAACTTGTTTGATTGTTTCCAGCTTTGTGACAAAAGAACAGAAAATATTTGCAGACAAAAAATGTGACACGTTTTAAGGTGACGCAAAAGAAGACAGCAGATATTTGAACAAAAGTTTGTTTGGAAAAATGTGCTGGACTCAGTGTAGCTTGTTTTTTTTTTTTTTTTAGTTAAGAACAAAATATAACAGTTAGGTCTGCAGTGATTGAAGCTTTTTTTTGTTAACAACCTGTGCAGAATAAAATCTGAGGCATTTTGTATATTTTAGGTATAATAAAATAATTTTGTCAGTTAGTATTTACCCGTCTAGTGCTTAAATAAAGTCCTGATGGATGTAAACAAACTAATTCATTTACCTCCGTTGAACTGTGTGTTGAACTTCTGTGAAATTCCATGGTAAATGTTACCTTTAGTGCTGAATTAATGCAATATTTTGTTTTTAAAACTTAGTTTAGAAATCAATTATGATGTGTTTATGTTGTCTGAAACTATGTTTATTTCTCTCCTGTGTGTGTTTTTGACAGGGCGGCACGTTCCCTGGTCAGCTGACCACACTGGGCATGCAGCAGTTGTACGAGTTGGGTCAAAGGTTGAGGAGGAAATATATCGAGGACAGACCCTTCCTAAGCCCCGCCTACATCCCCGCTGAGGTCTAGTAAGTGCTCGAGGATGGGATTTATGAGTTAAATGTGTTTCTATTTTAAAGCTGGCTTCCTTTCCTGACCCCGTTTCTGCCATTTTTAGTGTCCGCTCCACTAACATCGTGAGGACCATTGAATCTGCCAAGTGTCTGGTAGCTGGGCTTTTCCAGCAAAAACAAAACGGTAAATCTGAAATATTTGCATGCACAATATTTATATTTATCTCACCTAATCTCTCTTTTTTTAATCCCTGTTTCTAGAAGCTGTGCCTATTCTAACAACAGAGGCAGAAAATGAAATCCTCTATCCTAACTATCATGGATGCAAGCTGCTCAAAATTCTTTGCAGGTACATCAAATGTTCCTACCAGCCACAGAGTCACATCACTCCTCAGACCATCCTGGGCACTTGCAGCCATAAACTGGAATCTAAAATAATGTAGTGTGTGAAATTCTAAGCAGAGTGGAGATGCCTTTGACAGGTTGTCACAGTGTGTCTGTGTCTCGTGGCTGACACTGTGTGTGTTTTTTTGCAGCCACCGCTGGGCCGAGTCGACCACTCTGCCAGACATTGCTGCAGACCTGCGGAGCATCCAGAGTGCATTGGGGATTTCTGCTCACCAGCACGTCGACTTCATCCTCATTAGGGATGACATGGTTGCCAGAGAGGTGACACTGTGACTTTGTGATCCATGTGACTTTGTCTCGGCTCTCACCACAAGCATAAAATATATATGGCTCTGATAAAGCAGCCAGCTGCTGGTTTTGATAGCAAAAAAGCAAAAAAAAAAAAAAAAGGTCCTGTAGACCTGAACAAACGTAGGTTGAAAATTTCAGAATGAGGAGCTTGAGGATCGATTATTTATTTAAACATAATCATGAAAGAGATAAAATGGAAAAAAAGAAGCTAGAATTAAGGATAAAAACACATCTAAGGAAACTAGTCTTCCTTAAAGAAATGCACATCCCCTACAAAGTTCCAAGTCAAAGTTTTAAAGATCTTGCATTTTTGTTAGCACTCAGAGTATGTGGGAGATACCACACCAAGTTGTAGCTCAAGATCTGTAACATTAACTTAGAGCCATTTTTGTGCATTTCATGGCAGTGGGAGATCATGACTAGGTTAGTAAGACTTTTTTAAGTGGTTGTTTAAAGAGGCGATATTATGTGCTTTCCAAACCTATATTTCAATTTTATACTAAAACAAAGTAACTATGTCACATTTTCAGCTTATGAAAGAGCTATATATTTGTAAAAATCCCCAAAACAATTTACTTCTCATCTTGACAGTTTCCAAAYGTCTTGAAATAGGTCTCTGTCTCTTTAAGAAAATCCAACCAATTCGGTCACGCCCATTTCAGCACGTAGCCTGCTGGAGTCGCGGAGCGGGGTGGGAGTGCTCCGCCATGAGGAAGTTTGGCTTAAAGACACATCCCAGAGGAGGAGCTTGTCCCAAAAGGACACAACCCAGAGGAGGAGCTTGTCCCAAAAGGACACAACCCAGAGGAGGAGCTTGTCCCAAAAGGACACAACCCAGAGGCGTTTCTGGTCCCAAAAGGCGTTTCTGGTCCCTTAACTGTCGTTTTGCTCCTCGGCGTGGCTGCCTAAAAACGCTGCAGAATTTCTCAAACATGCATAAATGAGTCAAAGCAAGGCTTTGGGCATGTTTTTTATGAGAGTATAGCATTATAACATGATATAAAACTCAAAAATGTTGATTTTACATGATATTGCCCCTTTAAATAAATCGAAAGTTACACATAATTATGGTTCTATGAATCCCAGATGACCACTAGAGGGTGGTGCTGAATGCACTGAATGTTCCCTTTGCACAGGCCATTCAAGTAAATAGTGTTAACAAAGTCACAGCTCTGATAATAATCCCAATGACCAAACCTAGGGTCTCCATAACTCAGGGAAGAGCTGGTCTGAGTCAGTAAGCTGTGGCCCAAGGCCTCCAGTGGCCACACCTGCAGCTGGATACTGAGTATTTGGATACCATATCTACCCACTCAACTGTGACAGCAAGTTCCTTCTAGTTGAAAGACACTATGGAACGCCATGACACAACCTCCCTAGCAGTGGGAACCACAACCACGCTGACCAGTACGGAGCCATTGGCAACAACCTGTGGCGCTCTCTGAAGAGTAGGCCAAATCAGTGAAAGTGGCAGAAAGGTATACGGGAGGACCCTTGGCCAAGATTGATCCGGCTCATCCTGGCCCAGTGCACCTGATGCCCCTATGGAGTACCATAGGAGACAGTGAGTTGACTCCTCTGTGGGGAACAGATCTTTGTCTTCCCAACCAAAGAGGTCCCAGACTTGAAAACTAAATTGCTGTCAAGGGACCACTCTCCTGGAGCAGACCCCTGGCAAGAAACAGTCTGTGACCTGGTGAGTGGACAGGTAGATAGGCCCATTCCAGAAGGTTCTTAGACACCTTCAGAAGTTGTACTGACCTGGTGCCATTCTGATTTTTGACATGGTATACAACAGTTATCTGACTGAATTAACACATGCCCTCCCTCCAAGTGGGAGAGAAAATACCTGAGAGGTGAAAGCTGTCAAGCCACCTTTGTAGGGGGGCATAGTGACAGCAACCCCAAGTGCACCACCCAAGTGATCAACATCAGTTTACCTTGCAGCTACAGGAAGGCGGCATAAGGCAACTGCCTGCCCAGCCTGAATTCATTGACCATTTGGAGTATGTCATCTTTCGAACAGATTGGCGAACCTTCAAAGAAGGTGAGCACAAGACCACCATCAAAAAGATGGTTGTCTGAGATGGAATCATCTTCCCCAAGTTGACTTTGAGGCCTAGCTGGGACACATGGGCAAGCAGGTGGTCTGTATCCTGATAGCCACATGCCCGAGATGGGCACAAAGAAGCAAATCATCGAGATACGGCAGTCCTTTCACTCCACAGGCCTGTAGGGAAGAGAGCACTGCTTTCACACACCAAGAATACCCTCGTGGATAGGAAAGCCCGAACAGGAATATCTGGAATTGCCAATGGTGACCCTGATAGACAAACCTAAGGAAGTGACGATGCTCTGCCACAATAGACACATGAAAGTAAGCATCTCTCATATCTATTGATGTAAACCACTCTCCCCTTGCTACAGCCTGAAGAACTTCTGACATCATGAGCATGTGAAAGGGCGGCACCTTCAAATACTGGTTGAGCCCCCTCAGATCTAAAATGGAATGAAACTCACCTGTCCTTTTTGGCACAACAAAGTAGGTTGACTAGTAGCCTTCAGTTTGCTGTCCAGGATCCACCACCTTGATTTCACCCTGGGTCAGGAAGGTGGAAAGCTCCTAGTCTAGTCTTCTAGTATTCGACTTGGTGGCATCAATTTCTTCCCCCATGGCCCCTAGATACCAGGGGTTGGGGGTGGGGTAGCGGGCTGATCCATGAAAGCCTCTGCTGGGTCTCTGCTGTACAGGCTGAAGATAAGAGCCTCCATACCACTTACCATACCTAGACAGCGGCCAACTGTTGGGGCCAGCCATTGGGCACCTCAAATGCCAAGGAGGTGGAGGGGCCATAACCCTGCTAAGACTTGAGAGCTGCTGCCTGGACTTCCGTGCCTGAATGGTCCATTCCAAGTGAGGCAACAGCGGGTTAAACCTCCGGCATGCATTCCAAGCCTGTCTTGGCCGGCTCATGCATAGCCACCAACACTCGACCATCTGCGGAGATTTGGGTCCTGCAAACACCTGTGCAACTTCTTCAGGTAATCCTCTGAAGGAGGAACAGAAAAGGGAGGAGGAGCCCACTGCAAAATGCCACTGCAGTTCATGCAAAAATCTTTGAACAAAAAGTTGGCAGAAACTGGTAGAGAGCGCAGAAAAACACCACCATCACCAGTTAAAGTAACATAGAAAAATATATGAAAGGAGAAAAAAACACTTTCTTTATCAGCAATCTGCAACATACATTTATGAAGATTCCTTTGTCRTAGCCCTGGGAGAGCGATACCTCGCTACTCCTGCCTACAGGCAATCAGGCGTCTGAGGACAGTAAAAATTATGCAAGCTTTGCAAGGCTCATGCCATTCAAAAAGCAAACCACACACAAGAAGAAAAAAGGAGCAGAGCCTTGGATGATAACGGCTTATCAGTATAAGATAATCATCCAGTGGGTCACAGATGTAACTTTGATACTATTTACTCGARTGGTGCATGTGCGATGGGAACATTCAGTGCTTTTAGCACTGCCCTCTAGCGGTTAGGAGGGATGAAATAGAACTGGTCTTTGACCAATTAACACAGGAGCTAAATAAAATATTGCCGTTGTACATTTATGCATCAAAATTAATGCTGCTTATTGAAAAGCTCTGAGATTTGATTTCCTGTTTGCTTTATATTTTATTATGACATACTGTATTTATATACATCTTTGAGCTAGAAAATATTTAAGCTTTTAACAGTTTTTTTGTCCCTTTTTAGTCAAACCTAATTGCATTCAGCTTTAATCTCCCCAAACTGCTTCAGGAAGGTCCTTTTATGGTTTAAGCATCTCATTAATGTTTCTGTGTTTATAAAACAATGAGAGAACAATCAACTTAGTGGCATGTTCTATAAAACTAATGGCTTGTTAATGCTTTGACAGCTGTCAGTTCTGCACAAAAGAGACAGTCGTTAAAATGAAACTATTATAATGTACAACTGATTAATAATATGATTGTAATTAATGTGTTTCTTTAAATTATTAGACGCATGGTCTTCCAAATCCACCAGTGCTGAACTCCTGGAAGAATACAGTGGAGCAGAGGGCCGTAGACATGATGTACCACATATATGACCCCAGCAAAAAGTTAAAGCAAACCCTGTTTCAAAACTTTTCTTCTGACCTCGGCAGGCCGTGTTTAATTCCTGTGTTGTRTCTGCAACAGGGAGAACCTGCAGCTGTGTGTTGGACCCCTCCTGCACGTACTGTGGGAAAACATTGAGAGGAAATTGCAGGGCAGCTCATCATTGTCACACAGGTTGTACTCCTTTATGATGGGCGCAGTTCTCGACCAGTATTTGTCAGCTTTAACACTGAAATCCTCTTTCAAACAGGAAGTTGTTCCTGTATTCTGTGCATGACACTACTCTCATCCCCTGCCTCATGGCACTGGGGATTTTYGACATGAGATGGCCACCGTATGCTGCTGATATCTCTCTGGAGCTGCACCGAAACAAACAAACCAACGAGGCCTTTGTCAAAGTGTCATACGCAGGGAAGGTGAGGAACAACCAAGTGCTTTTATTTARAAAATGTTTAACTGTGCTTCTGCAATCTTAGTTATGCTTTGTTCCACAGGATCAACTTATTCCAGGTTGTAGTGGAGTTTACTGCCCCCTGCAGGAGTTCAAACAGGTCCTGTTGACTCACTCGCTGAGCTCTGACCTCTATCAGTCACGCTGCAACACCACCCAAAGTCGGACTGAACTCTGAACCCTCAACTAACTGCTCAGGACTTACATTCCTACTATAAAATACACCATGCTTTCATGTCTTCTGATCACACATCATCCAACAACCAACAACACAATAACTCAAAAACAAGTTGAACTTTCATTTCCATCACTGGMTTTAATCTTTCTTTTATCAACATACACGGAGTGTATGATGAGAATAGTTTTACTTTGTAGTGTTTACTTTGTACAAAGTGCTCTGTGTGCACAAGTGTGAGTGTATATGCCTACATACTTTAAGGTTTAAATATTAGGGTTGCAGGTTTTTTTTTTTTTTTGTATTAGCATTTTGCTGACAAACACACTAATTTGGTTTTAGGACAGCGAAGAAAAACAGCTAAAACCTCAAGGAGTGTTTGAACTAGTTTTACCTGCAGATTGGTGCAAAACTATTTTTGCAGCAGAGCAATGATTTATTTATTTTTGTATTACAAAATGGTCAATATAGTGTGTGGATATGGCACTGAAGTGGTGAAGCTCCAGAATGTGAATAATAACTTAAGGTAAATTGAGTTTATGAGAATATACCAAATAAGTTTATCCTAAACAWATTTTTATGATACAGAATGCTGGCTTTGCTGTTTGGATGATGCATTTGCAAAATACTATCAGTCACCTTCATAGATTGTTAGAACCTTAAAAAGGTTTAAATGTGTGAATTTGATTTGTGATGCACTTTTTCCACTAATCGCATTTCCATTCTTTTATTTATTCTGAGGGAATACTATTCTGAGTGGCACATTTAAATTTTGAGTAAAAGGTACACAATTGTGTATTAGCAGATTCGTATCTTTATAGAGTCCGTATAGCCCTAGAGCAATCTGTGTGTTTTTGAGTGCTCACCYGTGTGACAAGTATTTTATGACCTTGAGTTTAACAATGCTGCAACGACACTTTGTACCTCATCAAATAAAGAATTGGTGAGACATAAATACAAATTTTATTCAATGTTAAGTCTTTTTTTTCCTTACGTCACATTAAAAGGGTCATGTAAAAACTTGAGGTTCAAAAAAGCACAAATTTTTGAAAAGCATTTAAATGCAGTGAGACGTTTTCACATCTATTAGGCAGCAAGGTCTGAAAGTAGTTCTCACCTGATAAAACTGTCAGCGTATCAATGCCGCCGCTCCTCTTCTCATTTTGACACGTAGAGACAAAGACTTGGATTTCTCCACATAAAACAATCGAGACCCACGTGAACAGAAACAGGCGCACACACATACACTCCGTGGACAACATGTATATACCAAAACAATATCTTTTATTTGTAAGTCCATCACCACAGCCCTGGTAGGCTATTCTGCACCAAAGCCAATGGAGAAACACATGACAAGCTTATACAATAGAGAAAAGAGGAAGTCAACTGGATGGTAAGCAGTACATGTTTACATTTCCGTGTGTCTTGCGCTGGACATCACTCGCCTTACCAGATCTACCTAGCTCTAGTTCTATTTTACCTGGCAAACCTGCTCTTGCATTCCAGCCACTCCTCTCCCATTCTACGGACCATCGAGGTGGGGTGGGGGAGGATTATTGCTGTGGGAATGATTATTACCCAGAGTCAACAAGAGTCATAACAAAACAGGAACACAACAGGAACAAGAAGAACACACATATCACGTCTGGGTATTAGCGATATTATTCACGCCGGTGAGGGTTGAGTCCTAAAACGTTTTGGAGCACAATGTTTGAATATCATCCACAACTTGATGATCGCTGTGCTGCAAAGCTGCCAGGATCCTCACATTGAACGCATTGCTCTCATTGTAAAAAAAAAAAAAAAAGGAGGAAAAAAAGAAGACGCTTTCTGCAGATGATCCATGTTTGTGCTTTTTTAATAATACTATTATCTTAATGAGGTCATAGTTTGGTTTGTTATACACTGGAGTTACAAAGGAAATTAAAATAGACTAAAATTTGAAAAGCCCACCAATGGTAAACCGTACAGTATTTTTAGGGGGCATTCCTCCCCCAATGAAAGCTGGGTAAGAGGAGTTGAGAGGTCACTGATAGAATGCCTATACGTACAGACACATACATACCACACATACATCTGTCAAGCACGCACACACACACTCACGTATATACTGTACAGAAACAGTCAAAACAATGGAGCGAAAGACAAGATGGATTTCCACTAAAGTCTTCACAAAGCACAAATTATTCCTCCTCTTGTCCCATACCACTTTTATGACAAATTGTTTTTTTTTTATTTGAAAAAAAGAGACATATACTGTAGCATTACCACACTGACTTTTAGTTAGGTTGGTTCCTCTTTGTTGTCAGATAATCAAAAAAAATTTAAACAAAAAAATAAAATAAAACACATGAAGAGTTCTGCGAAATTGATGCACAACAATCCCATACATTCTGCAGTTCTTGAGTCAAAATTACAATGTATGTGTGGCAAAGGTACTCCACTCTGGGTCTGTCTTAGTCTCTGTTGGAACAGTTCCCACAAGACAATACTAGTTGACAGGCTAGCTCCATTCTGTTCATTTTCAGGGCACATCCTCTTGTTTTGCCTCATTTATTTGAGTCCATCAGTTTTTTTGAACACTTGCTACACTCCACGAGCTTTATATCATCCTTTGTGAATTGTCCAAGAACATTCTAGTTGCAAGATTTTTGTTGGATTAGAACATTCCATGACCCGGACTGAACCCCATGTCCATGTCACGTGGCCTCATTTGACCCCCCATCATCATTGTCTGCTGCGGAGGGCCTCCCATGCCCTGTAGTGACATCATCATGTTAGGTGAGCCACCRGGGCCTGGGTGAGCCATTTGTCTCCCCTGCATCATCCCTCCTGGACCCCCAGGGGACATCATTCGGTGCTGAGGACCCATCATGCCTTGACCCATGAATCCTGGCGGTCGCATTGAATTGTGACCAGGGTTACCCATCGGCATGTCTTGAGGGCCCATACCTCCACCAGGTCCTCCTGTCATCCCCCCCATCCCTTGCATTGGCATTCCCATCCTCGGTGGACCATCACCTATCATGCCCTGCAAGGGAAAGCCAGCAGGGTGGGGTGGTTTTCCCCCAGGGTTGTCACCTCCACCACGGGGGAAATATGAAAGAGTCTGGCTGGGTTTTTCTGATGGGATTATCCTGGACAGGTCGAACTCAGGAATACCCGAGGCTCCCGGCCGCATCACCTCATGAAGGTCTGCATCACTGAATCCTCCTTGCATGTTGTTAAACTCTGGCCCGCCAGGGGTATTAGGCTTGCACATACCCCCATCACCCCCTCCTCCGTGAGGCATGTTCCCCATTCGTCCTCCCATAGGTMCCCCCTCACCCTGGAAGCCCATTGGATGACCAGGAAAACCTTGGGGACCAGGACCATTGTGCGGTGAAAAGGGGCCTTGCTGGGAAGGAGATTGRGTGAGGGGGTATCCCTGGTTTCGATGAGGATAACCAATCCGTCCTTGGGGCATCATTTGAGGATTTGGCATACCTGGGTCTTGAGGATTTGGTTGCATCATCATGCCATGAGACATCATGCCTGGGCCCATATTAGGGGCATTGGGAGAGGGCATCTGTGGGGGCATGCCATGGGAGAGAGGCTGGGATCCCATCGGATTCATACCCAGAGGACTGAGCGCAGGCATGGGTCCAGGGTTTCCAGGTCCCATCATGCGTGGATTTCCTTGATGATTCATTGCCATACCTGCAATTAAAAAGAAACAACTTTCAGTACAAGCACTTTGAAGAGAGGGATAATCCTGTAAATACAATATGACCCAGAGTTATTGTAGTAGAAACTAAATTAAACAACAGTTAGAGGATATTTCAAGTATTTTACCATTATTGTTCACTGAAGGCAAATTGGGGGAACGAGCTGGAGGCGAGTCATCATCTGAGCTGGCAACAGTCTTTATGGCATCGTGGTAAAGCGGGGTTGAGCTGGGCATCGCAAACTTGGACATGCGTGACATCATGATGGAGAGTGGGTTCTGGGATAATGTTGGTTCTGGGGGTATAGTGTATGGACTGCCTGACGGAACATTGCCTGAAAGGGCCATGGACCCAGAGGGAGCCCCTGATGAGGGAGGTGCTGAAGGAGGACCATTCCCACCTGAAGTGAAAATAAATACAGAAACATAAGAAAAGCTAACATTCTCTGATTTATTAAATAAATGACATTTATAAGACTTTAGCACCAGTTTTAACACACATACCCACTCAGTTTGCAAAAGTAAGGGTGTCCAAATGTTTAACTGGCACTTCATATTGAGCATTTATTTAGTGGAGTAAAAAGTGAGGGCATGTGTATCCTTAGCTATACAGCCAGAAGAGGGAGCCACTGGACCATAACCAACCCCACCCCAGAGTATATACAGATGTGATAAATGGAACACCATATCATAACTTTCATTTTATGTTTGAGAGGATATTTGCATTTTTAAGTGAAAGTTACTTCAAATGCAAAAAAACATTTACACAGGATTTAAACATTGTAAAAAACTACAAATGCACAAAAATTCTATCAAAGATGCTAAAAAGAAATACAAATATACAAAAAAAATTACAAAGATTACATTGCGAAACAAAAAGAGCCAGACATGCTTATAACCACAGAAAGAATGAATGGTATACATACCCTGCTCCATCCCCATCATGTTTGGTGAAGTGATGCTGAGTGGAGGTTTGCCTCCCTGTGGGGGAACTCCAGGACTCTGCATGGGTGGTTTTGGTGAAGAGGCCCATGAAGGAGAGGGGTTTGGAAGAGATGGAGACCTCATATGAACGGGAGAGGCACCTGCTGATCCCATCATGGAGTGAGGAGATTTCATTGGTGCAGAAGTTGGAGGGGCTGGAGGAGCACTGGGACCTGTGGGACCAGTAAGCATGCCTGCTAGCTGGGACGGTGTTTGAGGAGATTTAAGGTTTCCGGAGGGGGAACCCATTATGGGGGACTGCCCTTGCCTCAGAGGTGGTGACTTGAGTGGGTTAACACTGGGAGAGTTTCCCCCTCCTGCTTGAACATTCAGGTCTGCGGGCTTGCGGCTTCTCTGACCTTGACTAGGACCACCACCTGAGGAGAGGTGGTTAATACGACCATTACCTCCTGAAGGTGTGGCTCTGTGCTCTGGACCAAACGTTTGGTCAGCATGTGGACCCCTCATTCCTCCTGGACCCCCAGGGAAAGGCCGCCCAGGCCCCATTGGAAAGTCTGATGGTGTCTGTTCAGGAAAAGTGGAGACCTGCATAGGCCTGCCTTGAGGACCCATGTTCTCCATCGGAGGTCCTCCACTACCTCTCATTCTCATTATTTCATCAGGACTCATATTCATGGGTGGCTCTCGTAGTTTAGAAGGATGCATGTGAGGTCCTGGCCCAGGACCAGGCCCCATGCCAAAGTCAGGCCCCATTTCTCTGCCCCCCAATCCTTGGAGCCTTGAGGACGGACTCATAGGGCCCTCACCAGGCATTCTTGGAAACATACCCATGCCATTACCGGGTTCCATTCCACCTCTTTGGTGCCCCATCATCCTTTGAACATCCATCATCATCCCTGGAGGAAGGCCCTTCTCTCCACCCATTCCTTGGTGAAACATTGCCTCCTGGACTGACTGAGGATTTGGAAAACGCTCACCACGAGCTCCTGGGCCCGCAAACATTCCTCCAGGCCCTCCAGGGAAGCCCCGCGCTTCTCCCATTCGGGGAGGCATGTCATCAGGCCAGCCAATTCCAGGCCTTGGGGGGCCCTCCATCTCAGGATTCATCATACCAGAGAAGCCAGGCATCCTCTGCATGTGTGGGGGCATGCCCCGGGGACCAGGGCCCATTCCCATTCGTTCTGGGTAATGCTCTGGTGGACCACCTGGTCCTCCCCACATCTCTCCAGGACCCATTTGGTAGGGAGGCGGAGGTCCACGCATCATGCCTCGTGGACCATGGGGGTGCATCATCAGGTCTGGAGCAAGAGGGCGG